CACCTCCCTCCCTCCCAACCTCTCTCTCTCTCTCTCTATCTCTCTCTCCCCCTCCCTCTCTCTCTCTCTCCCCTTCTCCCCTCCCTCCCCCTCTCAGCAACTGCCTGCTCCTTTTGTTCCTCCTTCTGCACAGGTGTGCAGGTGTAGCCTCTGATTGGCTGAGTAGTTAATCTGTCAGCAGTGCATTATGAGTCCATAAACTGCCAGGTAAAGAGGTGGGCACTGCGATTGGTCTGAATATTCATGAGCAGCCTTCCTGGGGCGTGTCCCTATTCTATTCCTGCCTCAACATCACCCCAAAACTTGGTGGCTTAAAGCAACATCTATTGGGGCCAGCCTGTGGCTCACTTGAGAGAGCGTGCTGCTGATAAGTCAAGGCTTAAGATCCCCTTGCCAGTCATCTTTTAAAGAAAAAACCAAATCTACTGATTTGGCAATAATTATGTGTCATTATGTGTCACCTCTCCCTTGGGGTGACGGAGACGGAGACGCAAAGGATTACTCAAAGCCCATTTTTCCTGAGCAGTGACAGGCCCAAAGAGGTTAAACCCCAGGAGACCTCTTCTTCAAGAGAGAAGGAATTCCTGGGAAATGACCCCGAATCAGGGCTTTTCTCAGTTTTTTATTGTCCAGGCAAAAGTCACAGAAAAGAACACAGGTGGTTAATCAGTCATAGGGAAAACATAAACAAACTGGCTACACAATTTTCTTTTTTTGTCTTTTTTCGTGACTGGCTACGGATCGCAACCCTCAGTGTCACGCCCGTACCAGACCGGGACCAGCAACAGGATCGCAACCCTCAGTGTTGCCCCCACTCCTCACTCAGCCAGTGAGCGGCCGGTCTGTATGTGGGATCCGAACCCTCGGCGGGAGCGCTGCCGCACTTCCCAAGTGGCGCACTGTAGCAGTGCCACCGGGCCGGCCCCTACACAATTTTCATTAAAGCAGGTGCAACGTAAAAATAGTTCAAGCAATTTACCATCAAAGGAGTCATAAAACTAAGCTATGTGACATACAAAAGAAGCAATGAGGTAATTGTTATGGCAACCCTTAGATTCCTAGGAAACTTAGAGAAGCAGTTGAAGGTGAAATGTGGAGCCAGATGCTAATTGGCAGAGTAGCCTTGAAGCTTTCAGCACACATATCTTCCCATAACTAGGTCTAGCGGCACCAAGGGCATCTGCCCTTAGAGCAAGCACTTTTGCTGTGTTACAATTTTCATATCCACACCAGAGACTTTTTAGTCCTGTGAAAGTTTTCTGTCTTTTCCCAAACTTAGCATTTCTATGTGCAATACTAAAAGGTTAGGTTCTTCCTCAAACTACAAGGCTTTGGCCTTGCTAAAACTGCAGGGCTGTGGCCCCACTGTGCTACAGCCTAAAGGGCTTTGGCCCTTCTAACAGCTAAGGACTGTGGTCCTACAAAGATAAAGATCCTACTAAGCTACAGCCTGACCTAAGGGCTGTGGTCCTTCTAACAGCTAAGGGCTGTGGCCCTACCAAGCTAAAGGTTAAGGCCCTGTGAAATACATGTGCTTTTTTTTTTTTTTCCTTTTTGTCTTTTTTCATGACCGGTAATGGGATTGCAACCCTCGGTGTTGCGCCCGCACCGCGCTCGACCAGTGAGCGGACCAGTCTCTATATGGGATCCAAACCCTCTGCAGGAGCGCCGCCGTGCTCCCAAGCGCCACACTCTACCGAGTGTGCCACCGGGCCGGCCCGAAATATATGTGCTTTATTAATGTTAGTACCCTCTACAATTATGTGAGTGGATAATTTAGGCTGGGCTCAGCTGAGATGGCTCATCTCTGCTCTGTGTGGTATCTCGTCTCGGTTCACTGACTTAGTGGTCAGCTGGCGATCAATGACTTCATGTTTGGCAGGTGGGTGCCTTTTGGGAGGGTCAGTGGTATTAAACTAAGTATCTTAGTCAGTGTCGGCTGTGCTGACAAATTGCTGTAGAGTGGGTGGCTTAGACAACAAATATTTCTCACAGTTGTGGAGGCTGTAAGTCTGAGATCAGGGTGCCAGGATGGCTGAGTTCTTGGTGAGGGCCGTCTTCTTCTGTGTCCTCACATGGCAGAGATAAATCATGCTAGCTCTCTGGCCTCTCCTTATAGGGCACTAATCTCATTCACAAGAGTTCCAACCTCATGACCTAATAGCCTCCTGACAGCCCCACTTCCTAAACCATCACAGTGGGGGTTTGGATTTCAACATCTGGACTTGGTGGTTGAGGGGACAGGCACTAATCTCATTCACAAGAGTTCCAACCTCATGACCTAATAGCCTCCTGACAGCCCCATTTCCTAAACCATCACAGTGGGGGTTTGGATTTCAACATCTGGACTTGGTGGTTGAGGGGACATAAACATTTGGTCCACAGCACTGGGCATGTGCTCTTCATCCTCCAGCAGGCCAGCCCCGGCTCATTCACAAGGTGGTGGCCACAGGAGTCTCAAGGGAAGCAAGACAGAGCCACTCCAATGTATAAGTGCTTTTCAAGACCCCTGGCGGGAACTTCTGTCCCACTCATTCTTGGACTTTTGCCAAGGCCTAAGAATCTTACAGTGTGCAGGAGCTGGGGCAGGGCACATGGTCACCAGTCCTGGCATATAGGTAACTTCTGAGCCACCCATGTGCCTGTCTCACTGGCCACTCCCCAGGGTGCCTCTGGCTGCCTTGTGGAGAATGCTTGGAAGGAGAGAGACCAAAACTCTGGCTAAGGGTTCAGCTGGGAGAGTGGTAGTGGGAGAGGAGGAGGGTTAGGAAGGAGGATAGACAGGGCTGGATGGTGCTTGGAATGGGGTCAGGAAGGGAGCAGGAAGCAAAGATGGTTCCTGATGGATTCTACCGCTCCCTAAAGAAATCTCGTTTGGATACCTCTATCAGCCAGCCACAAACAAAAAAGACATCTGGGCTGGGAGGGACCCTTAGGTGTGGTCCCACACCATGTCCTGCAGCCTGAGTGCAGTCCATTCTACTGCCTGGCCTTCTTGGCCTCCACTCATCCTTCTGCTCTGGGGAGTGGGCCCTCTCCAGCCTGGCACGTCACCTCCACCACCACCAAAGAAGCCCTTGCAGTGCCCGTTATTGTATGTGAGGTGGAACAACAGTAGCCCTGGGGCGGGAACAGGAGCTGACCTAGGGGAGCAGGACAGAGGCAGGCTGGGAGGTATTAGGCCTCACAATCAGCTTAGCATAAGCAAGCCATGTTAACTGCTTCCTCACCCTGTCCCTTGCCCCCTCCCTTTCTCTTAAGCAAAGTGCTTTCTGAGAAAAACCAGATTCTGTGCAGAACAGAATCTTGTACAAAACAGGAAAACTGCAAAGGACCTACAAAGTGCTGAATGCTCAAAATAGCTACCAAACCCTTTCCCCTAATTCAGACCCTATAAAACCTGTATTAGTTTGTATGGGGGCAGGAACTGATCTTTCAGTGTCCCCTTTAGGTTTTCTGGGAATAAACTCCCTAACGTGGTAAGTGTTTGGCTCAGAGTCCTTTAATCCCTTTGTCTTGCCAACTTAATGGGAAGCAGGCTATGGGCTGTGTCCTCACCTCCTCGGAGGCACAATGCATGTGAGTCCCTCACACCACTGTTGTCACGTTTTACTTCTGCGTATGTTATAATCCCTGATATCTTTTTACTATTTTTGTTGCAGCTATTTGTTTTAGAGAAAATAAATGAAAAAAAATTTTATATTTACTAACATATTTCCCGTTTCCTGTACTCTTTTTTCTTGTAGATGTGAGTTCCTATACTGTACCATCTTCAGCCTGAAGAATTTCCTTTAACATTCTTTATTGTGCAGGTCTGTGGCAGACACATTCTGTCCACTTTTACTGTAGTAAAATATATACAACATAAAATTTGTCATTTTAGCCATTTTAAAGGGTACAATTCAGTGGTCTTACAGTCACAGAGATGAGCATCCATCACCACTATTTCCAAAACCTTTTCATAACTACAGAAACTCTGTACTCATTAAGCACTAATTACCCATTCCTCCTCCCCGCAGGTCCTGGAAACCTCTAATCTACTTTATCTCAAAGAATTTGCCTACTCTAGATATTTCACATAAGTGCAATCATACCGTATATGTCCTTTTGTGACTGGCTTCCTTTACTTAGCATAATGTTTTCAAGGTTCATCCACGTTGTACCATGTGTCAGAACGTCACTCCTTCTTAAGGCTGAGTAATATTCCCCTGCGTGTTTATACCACCGCCTATCCATTCATCCCTCCATGGCGCTTGTGAATAATGCTGTTATGAACATGGTGTACAAATATGTTCGAGACCCAGAAGTGGGACTGCTGGATCACAGGTAACTGTTTTAACTCGCCGAGAACCTCCACACCGTGTCCCGTTCCATTCAGTTCCCACCAACTGCGCACACGGGTGCACTCGTGTTTTGACATCTGTCTCCACTGACAAGTCAAAGGCAGAGGCTTCCGCACGTCACCAGGGAGCCCTGCTGTGCGATCGTTCCCTTCTGGCCACAGTGAGAGCGTTAATAGAGTACCGCTAACTGGCCCTTCTCCTGGGCGTCCCTCGCGGAGTCCCTCGCGTCAGACCCGCCGCGGACGTGCGGGGAGCAGAGGCTGAGACACCTGGCCAGACCGCTCTTCTAGGCGCTTCCCGGTGACGTCGTTCGCCCTCGCGCCGCGCATGCGCAGTCCCGC